AACTATGCATCATACATTTGAAAGGTGTTTGTCCTCCTCACATAGCTGTGTGCATGAGGAAGGCACGTTTGTTTTATACCCCAGAACAGGCCTGCTAGGAGCTCATATCTGGCTAGTATCGACCCATTTCTCATCTTTGTTTCAAGTCTTGCACTGAATACACAACATGGTTGACAGGATTATGAAGTGCTCCAGAATAAAGCAGGCTGAAACCATCTGCACTTGATGCATCGCTGCTCATTAAACTTAGGTTCTGACCTTACAGTGCGGCACTAACCAAATGAGTGTGTCATCATTTTTAACGCTGCCTCTCCTGTCTCATCCACATTATTGTAACCGGATATTTAGAGAGAGAAATCAACCCGAAGCTCCCCCACACCCCCAGCAGACGTACATCTGTGAAGGAACCAGACAAGCTGTGAACTGCCAAGACGTTTCTGATGTTTATGAGACCAGTTTGTCTTTCCTGACATTTTAATGGCAGACAGATCAATCAATTAATCGGGAGAATAATCAACAAATTATCCATAATGAAAACCATTATTAGTTGTGGCCCAAATTGCACTGTGAAGTCTCCATTTGTGCAAAGGGAGATGCGTCATTCGATTTGTTGGGAGATGTAAAGTGGTTGCTGCTCGTTTTGCAGATTAAGCGACCGTCATCAGTGACGATCAGCGACCAAAATGGCATCACTTTGTGTCAAGGCTGTGCCGTTTTGATGCAGACTGACAAGTGGGAGGTTACGCATTTAATCAAGTCCAAAGGGAAGGACATGACAGAAGTGCCTTTGTGCTTGTGTGACAGGAATCAGTGCTTTTGTCAGAGCTCTTAATTCTCCACATTCAGTTAAAACCCTTTACAGCAGTTCCTGGTTAAATCAAACAAGTGTTGAAAGAGCAGAACATGGATGTAGACACAGTAGACATGTACAGTGACGTTCAGGCAGTAATGTTCAGGTGTAAAGACAAGATCTGTTCATAAACACACAGAGACTCGTGGCAGCCTTGTGCATCTAGTTTGTTTGTGGGTTCACTGTTGAAATACCCAGCGGCCTGTGGTTGATGTTCCCTCAAGTGGTGTTTTGATGATGGTGGTGGAGACGCTGTCTAACATTTCACTCCAACATCTCCCATAGCTGTTCAACTGGGCTGAGACCTGGTGACTGGGAAGGCCACAGCATCTGGTTCACACCATGGTCATCCTCATCAGACCAGTCAG